TTAGATTTCCTTAACAATGTCTATAATTCTTTATATTTTAAAGATAAGGCTATCATAGCCCCTACTTTGGTTGTGATTGAAGACATAAATAAGTACATGCTGTCCTTGCTCCCTAAAGAGAAAATTGTATACTTGGGTTTCATATAATGTTGTGAAAGATGATTGGGATATGAATTTACTTAATGACTTGCAGTCTATAAATTTTTTAAATTCAATTACAATGACAAGCCTCCCAAATCATGAAATAAGGCTAAATGTAAGTGTCTTAATTATTTTAATGCAAAATAGTGATAAGTTTATGAGGTTATACAAATATACATGTCTTTTATAGTTACGAATTGAAAAATATGTTATTGAGGCCTAAGAATGTCTAGGCCAACTATAGGAATAGAAGTAGTATACCATGTTTTGCTATGTGTCCATCTGATTTTAGGTTACTATTTACTATGAGGAAGTAATTTTTCATTATGTTAGCCTTTGCAATGATCATTAATAAAAGCCAGGGCTAGAGTCTGTGTTATGTCAATTTGTACCACCTTATCCTTTTCATCCATGACCAGTTATACTTTGCTATTTCTTGTGTTTAAAGAAGGGAGGGTTTAAAATATTAGTTCTTGATGAGGGTGATTGATCCATGGATAGAATTTCTAATGTTGTTTATATGAAAATTTTTGATAATTTGATAGTTAACCTGTTTCTCATCATATCCATTCACACTATATGCATTTAATTTTTACCATCCATTTTCTTAACACTAACATGCATATTAATATTAAAGACAATAATTATACAACCTTACTATATATACAATGATATAAAGAAAGTGTCTATTACAAGTTATTTTTTGAAAAAAATTTCTACAAAATTAAACACTTATTTATAAAAGTTGTAGTACAAAATTCGTGCATTACACGAGTATTAACTATTTATATTAGTTAAGAAATGTAAACTACTAATAAAATTATTATGTTTTTTATTTGATAATAATTATTCAACAAAAATAATAAATATGAGTACAAATAATAATTTATAATTATAAATATTTAGTTAATAAAGATATTTGTATATTATAGAAGTATAAAAAATGAATTTTAAAATAGTTTGGTAGGAAAACTAAAACTAAATTAATAAATAAGCACTATAGGCTAAAACCAAATATGTAGTAAAAAATAAAAATAATTAAAATTAATAAATAAAATAAATTTTTAATATAGTTATTTCTATTAATAATTACATATATTACTTAATAATAATAAAAAAAAATACTACATATTACTTAAAATAAATAATTAATTTATTTAATTAATATAAATATATTATTTTAATAAATGAGAAAGAGAGGTGGCCTTTGTAGGTAGAAAAACGCTACCTTTCTCTTCAAAAATAAAAACGTTATATATATATTTATTAACAATTAATAAATAAAAAATAATAATTAGTTAATAAAAAGAGAGGTGGCATTTGAAAGGCTAAAAAACGCCACCTCTCTCTTTAAATGTAAAAAAATATTTAAATAATTTATATTATTCTATAATAATTTATTTATGTTATATGTATATTATTAAAATGTTAAAAATAAATAATTATTAAATAAGGTTTGGTAAAAAACCAAAATTTAAGTAACAATAAGTACTATTTAAACTCATTGATTACTGAGTAAAATATTATATAACCATATATCTGAAAAAAGTTTTAGATATTTCAACAAATAAGAAGGGATAAATATAAAATATTTAGTTGATAATAAATATATGCATATTATAAAAGTATTAAAAAATAAATTTTTAAATAAAGTTTGGTACGAAAACTAAAACTAAATTAATAAGTAAGCACTATAGACTATAACAAAATATAAAGTAAAAAAATAATTAAAATTAATAGCATAAAATAAATATTTTAAGATAGTTGTTGCTATTAATAATTACATATATTAATTAATAATTATTATCAAACAAAATACAACATAATCCAAAAATAATTATTAAATAAATATTTAATATTTTTCAGTTAATATTTAATATATGATTTTTTAGTAAATGAGATAGAGAGGTGGCGTTTGTAGATCAAATAAATGCCACCTCTTTCTTAAAAAATAAAAAACAATTATGTATAATATTTATAAATAATAATAAATAAAATTAATAATTAATTAATACAAAAGAGAGGTGATATTTCAAAAGCCAACAAATGCCACCTCTCTCCTTAAATATAAAAAAAATTATAATTAATTTTTAATATTATTTAATAATAGATATAAGTATATTATAAAAATATTAAAAGTAAAAATAATTTTCAAAAATTTTAAGGAGAGTTGTGGCATTTTTTCTTCTTAGAAACACCACCTCTCTTGTTAAAAATAAAAATATTTATTTAATTAATATTTAGGTATATAACTTTTTTAATACTTGAGAGAGAGAGGTGGGTTTTGTTTTTCAACAAATGCCACCTCTCTCATTAAAGATAATAAAATATTATATATCTATTGAATATAAATAAAAAATTATAACTTAATAAAAGTAATTTATTATAATTTAATAAAATGATTAATATCTAAATTTATATTAATTAAGAATATATGTAGATAATAATGATAAAGATTAATATTTTATATACTAATAATTATTAAACAAATTATTATATATATATGCTTACAAATAATAACTTAGAAATACAAATATTTATTTAATTAATATTTAATATATTAATTATTTCATAATTAATTAAAGAGGTGGCATTTTAAGAGTGAACAAATGCCACCTCTCTAAATAAAACATAAAAAGATTATGTATATTAACTATTAATAATTAATTATAAAAAATTATAATTTAATAGAAAATAGAGGTGGTGTTTCCTCCACTAAGAGACGTCACTATTCTAACATTGAAAAGAATATATATCTTATTTGAATAAGGAAAAAAATTTAAAACTAACATAAATTATATGTTAAAATTGATTATATATAATTTATAAATTACTTAAGATGAAGAACTAATACATATCAATTAATAAATTTTAATTTTTAAGATAGGTAGTATTTCAAGTTTGTAGAAACACCACCTCTTTAATTTAGTTATTAACTTTCTTAATAAATTAGAGAGGTGATGTTTTTAAATAATAGAAATGCTACCTATATGGTTTAAATTATTAGAAAATTGTACATATGATTATTTATACTTATTATATATTTATAATAAAATAATTATATAATATTACACAACAAAATAATTATTTATAATAAAATAGAGAGGTGAGGTTGGTGTTTTAAATACTGAAATGCCACATAGTCATTGATCAATATAAATCTGTGGCATTTCATTTTAAAGATGCCATTTCTATGAATTTACTATAATTATAAAATAAAAAAATTTATAAGTTATGGCATTTGATAAAATAAATGCCATATTCCTTCTTTAAATTTGATATTAGTAGCATTTTATTTTTTATTATTATGAATATATGTTATTAAATATTATTTTTGTAGTAGTGAAAAACTGTGTATTATAAAATAGTATTTAACTTTTAATAACAAAACCATGCAAAAGCTTACGGGAAAAACAAAACAAAACCGATTGCAAAAGTTCCTCACACATTGGAGAAGCTACCACGTGTCCCTTCTTTGTATTGATAATTTCCCACCTTCAGTTCAGAATATGATTCCCTCGTAGTATGTGCTGGTGCATGTAATGTGGCATTTTGACAAATATTTTAAACTAAGAAGTCAATAAAACTAATGGATGATTGTATTTTATGTTGAATGAATATTCATGCATAAATTTATTGACATTTCTATAATAAGAATATAAAAAATGGGTAGATTCATTTTCAATAAATACAATTTGGATTGCATTTGAATATTCTTTAATATTACATATTAACTACTCCCTCTGTTAAAAATATAAGGCATTTTTTAAAGAGTTGGATGTTAAAAAATGTAAGATATTTTAGCTTTTTGAGGTGTAATTATTGTCTTTTTCTTTTCAAAAGTGCCCTTATTGATAATAATTTTATATTTATTGTGAGGTGTTTAATAGAGGTAAATATAAAAAAATAGGATTAATTAGAAAGTAGGTAACTACTTTATTGAAAAGTGAGATTCGGTTAAAAATGCCTTACATTTTTACATAATTAGAAGGGAGTATGTATTATCCATAATATAATCTAATAACTAACTACAATTTTACACAATGAATCTACATTGAATCTATCTCTTTGTGAGTTTTTCCAACTTGCGAATTTGATAACATGTTCAACACACCTTTCTCTTTTTCTCTTCAAAATAAGCCCTCAAATTATGAAAGAGATTATGTTCCATAAATAAAAATATAAATAAGTGTATAAAGATGTCTCCATGGTTTCACAGATGCCAACGACACACAAGTAATGAAAATCTTCAGCAGCACAACCATGCATTTTCTCTATTCTCTTTGCTGTTGCTTCTTTCTCTTCATTACGAGGTATGACTCTTTATATAAATATTTATAGTACGTTTGGATTAAAGGAATACACAAAAAATTGTGAATTTGTATTTGAACAAAATAAAAATTGTGGAAATTCATTTCTTCTTATAATTTTATGTAATTTCAAATTCTATCTACATATTAATTATTTGAAATTTAAGTTACTTCAAACATTTCATTTTTCTCATATTTTGATTATTGGTACTTCTATAACTTTCACCTATCTTTTCTCATTTATCATTCTTGTCTCTTATTAATTAAAAAATAGAGATAAACTAGTCACTCTTAATTTTTTGTTTTTGTTTCGAATATTAACTCATCTCTCTTCTTCATTCAAAATTTTTTAAACTATCCAAACAAAAAATTTTAAATACATGAATTTTAAATTTGAAATTTGAAATACAAGCTGTTAAACAAAATCTAAATCCACCAATCCAAACATTATCTTAATTTTTATATACATATGCACACATACAGTTCTATATGTCTAGAATTAAATCTCAAAAAATTGTTTTCAGTGTCTCATCTCAAAGTCCAACTACCATGGAAAATGCTATCTACCCACCAAGAGGCTGGAATTCCTATGACGCATTCAGCTGGACAATTGTTGAACAAGAATTTTTAAAGAACGCTAAAGAACTTTCCTCACGTCTTCTTGATTATGGATATGAGGTATGATAAATTATTATTACGGTTACTAAATATTATATTAATTATCAATTTAATTCTTGAACTTAATTTCTTTATACACATATCATCGAATCTCAAATGGTCTTCTTTCAATCCCTGAACTTTTCTCATATACACACAATTTCCTTTGAGTGAGTTACTCTGAGTCAAAAATTAAGAATTGAATTATGTTTACATTATGCTTGACTCAAATCTCTATGATTCTTTATGATTATTTTTATATATTATCTTAGCTTAAAATCAATTATATATACTCTTTTCGTCCTTATATATAGGGTTTTTTTAACTAAATTTTCCATAGTAATAAAAGTTTATTATTTATTTGAAAATTTATAAAATCTTAACAATTTTTCAGTTTTGCTCCTAATAAACGTCACAACTACTATTATGGTGGTGGGTAAAATACACAATTAATATCTCTTCCTGTTTTTAAAACAAGAGCAACATTGTCCAATTACTCAAAATTATTATGATACCTTTCATATTTTGGAATATAACAAGTTTTATATATAAGGACAAAAGAAGTATATATTTATAGTCTCTCCACGCTCATAGAAAAGATAGTTATCCTAATTCTCAATTTTTATAGTGAAATATGTTATTCATTGGACAAATTTTTTGTCTTTCATGTTGGGATTTTCGCACGTTAAATTTTCTGTCATTTTTTTTATTATCATTTTCTCTAACCTATCTGTGCTTTCCACTTGTTTTACCGTCTTTTTTAGATTGCTACCGTTGATGCTTATTGGCATAAGGCTATTGATGGTGTTAGTCACGTTGATGAATGGGGAAGAGTCATCCCTGACCCAGGCAAGTGGCCTTCTTCAGCCAATGGAGTAGGGTTTCGAGACGTTGCAGATCAAGTTCATAGATTGGGTCTCAAGTTTGGGATTCATGTTCATGGAGGGATCAGCGCAGTTGCAGTTTCTGCTCCAAACTCACCAATCTTAGACATATCAACGGTACATATATACACACATATTACTTCACTTTTTTACAAGTTCAAATGAACTTTTTTTTTTCTTTTGCATTTGAACTTCTTGGATTCCTTTATGTTTCTGTTTATAGAGCAACTGGTCCCCATATTTTTATCATTGATTATTAGCTCTCTTGATTAAAATGTAAGACATTTTTAGTATTCAAAAATAGATCAAAATGCATTGTTGTCATTCCGTGTAAGCCCCACAATTATTCCATGTCAATAGGTAACAAAGAAGATGAGGGGTCTTTGATGGAAAGATAATTTTTCTCCTGCAAAAAATTATTTAGGGGGATATTGCCTAATTTAACCACATAATATATGTTACTGGCCATGGTTGACATGAGTTTTCACTCTGAATTTCTATTAATTTTGTTAGGGGAAAGCTTATAACGAAGGTGGTCGAGAGTGGCATGCAAAAGACATTATTGTTAGTAAAGATCATTTTTGTCCCTATGCTCCAAGTTCCTTCTTTATCAACACATCATCGGGAGCTGGAAAAGCCTTCCTTAGATCTCTCTTTGACTTGTTTTCCTCATGGGGTGTTGATTTTGGTACTTACTCATCTCCCTCTGCCATATAATATTACTTCTTTGGTTCTATATATTTATAGGATAAAAAGAGTATTTATTTTGGTCCTATTTATAAGACATCTCCATAATTTATCTATATTTACTCTTTTGCTCCTATTAAATGCAAGAAAGGTTATTCAATGCTGGAATATTTTATTTTTAAAGTGTGTGTGTATATATTTAATAGAGGTAAATTTGGATGCTTACTGAATTTTTATACAAAGTTGATAAAGTTTAAGGTTGTCTTTGATTTTAATGAAACATACTATAAGTGACTTATATATAGAATCAGAAGGAGTATATCATTATAAAAAGACACAATATTATTGATTTTGCTTGCTTCATCTCTATCTAATTCTACTTGATATAAAACAGTAGGTTAATTATACGTTGTTATTATGATACGTTTTAATTAATCCTTGCTGCCTTTTATTTATATACATATATGTGTATCTCACGGGGAAGATGTTAAACACATTGATGTTTTGATTCATTTTGATTTGAAACATTTACATGGGATTATATAACATAGACAATTATATGCAATATTTTTTTTGAAATATTTCCTCCATTTCTATATTTATAATTAATTAACCTACATTCTAAAAGCTTTTCAAGTTCTTATTTATAAATATTTTACAAAATCTATGAAGCAGTTCATAATTCATTTCAATAGTACCATTGGTGTGACTATTGTAGAGTAACTACATGGTAGATACAAGAACTGAGAGAGGTGAGTAACATTTCGTTATAATTTATCGCATTTAATTAAGGTCTTTTTTGTTGAAAAGATGTGGCAATTTTGAGAATATCAACTAATCTTAATTTTCTTGGTTGTATGAATTGGTTAAAAATGTGACTTATAAATTCCAACACATATGGAATGTGTGCGTACACACAAACCATGCTATTGCATAGAAAACTTCTGCAAAGTAAGCAAGTAAAGCTGAGAAATTATTGAATGGATATTTAATGTTATGTCATTTGTGATTTATTCAATAAAATTATATCAACGCAATTAAATAAAATATTATGTGTTATTATTTTTAATGATTTTTTTATAATAAAATATCTATTTAATTTCTTGCATGTTTTTTTTTTCGACTATCATTAATGTCAAAATCAATTTATATTTAATACTATATGAATGTTATATTTTTATGTAATGGACATCGGATGACGTGGTATACTAGATCTATCCAAGAATTTATCAGTAAAGCTAACGTATATATTTGATTAATATATAATATGGATTGTTCTTTCTGCAGTGAAACTTGATTGCGTGTTTGCTGAAAACTACAATCTAGAGACTCTCATTAGTGCATTAGTATCAAGATTATTAACAAATAAAGCTGTGTAAACTAATTATATATTAACCATAATAATATTGTGAATCCTCCAGATTTTGAAAGAGATTGATAATCCCATCATCCTTTCTGTGTCTCCTGGATACAAAGCATCATTAGAAATGGGTTTAGAAGTCAAAGGACTTGTTAACATGTTTCGAGTAACTGCCAATACTTGGGATCAATGGTCAAATGTGAAAGATCATTTTGATGTTGCCAGGTCAGATATATATTCAATTATTATATATTAACAATGTTTACTCATAGAAAAAAAGTGCTAAAATGTAACTTTAATCCATAACTTTATATAAAGTCTCAATTTCATAAAATATCTTTTAGTTGTCCTTTAATTTTTAAACCATTAGTTTTAAATGATTTTTTTTGTGACAATTATTATTATTTTAAGAAATTAAATTTAATATGTCAACATTTAATAATATTTTATTAATATTTAAAAGTTTAATGTGAGAATTTTTTGTGAATAAAACTAACAATACGAAGATTAAAGGATTGAATAAAATTAAAGAAATAAACAGGCATTTTAGCTAAAAAATTATAAAAAAAATATATGTATGTACATATTATTATTAATTAGTTCGTAAAGTAATTCATGCAACTTTAATTGTAATAATTGTTTTTCTTCTTAGGGATTTTGCGTGGGCTGGGTTGATTGGAGCTGAAGGTTTAAGGGGAAATTCTTGGATCGATTTGGACATGTTACCATTGGGACGACTAACTGATCAAGGTTATTATGAGATTAACAATAATTATCTTTGATTTATCCCTAACCTAACCCCTTTGTTTGGGATAACAAAAAGAAGAGAAAATTAGATAAGTAAAGCAGAACAGAAAGATACTTTTTCTTTCAAACACAAAGTTTTTCCTTTACTTTTCCCCATCTTTGTGGGAAAAAAGCAGAAAGCAAGGGTGGAAAATGTCTTTTCCTCTAATTTTCTCCCATAGTTTTCACTTCTCTCTATTTTCTTCTCATTTCAAACAGGGGGGACAAAAAAGTAGGAAGAAAATAGGAAAAACAAAAAATTAGGAGGAGAAATTTTAAAAGTATTAATTTTTCTACTATTTTTAGGAGCTTTTTCTCCTAGTTTACCTTCAAACAATTGGGATAGAAAAGTATGCTTGATGATTGCCTACGTTATCAAAATAACTTAAACTAGTTAGTTAGACATATCCTAAATTTTATATATTCCTAAAATTTTTCTTTAGTTTTTATTTTTGTTTGAAAATAGTAGAAGCCAAGGGTGGAAAATGTCTTTTCCTCTATTTTTCTTCCATACTTTTCTCTTTTCTCTATTTTATTTTCATTTCAAATAGGGAGGACAGAAAAGTGGGAAGAAAATAGGGAGGAGAAAAAATTAGGAGGAGAAATTTCTAAAACTATTAATTTTTTTTACTATTTTTGGAATTTTTTTCTTCTGGTGTACCTTTAGAAAATTAGAATAGACAAGTATGCTTGATGATTGCCTGCATTATCGAAATAAATTAAATCATTTGGGTAGACATATTCTAAATTTTATATATTCTTAATCTATTTTTTTAAAATACTAGATGTAAGACTTCTTTCTTCTTTAATATTCTCTTCATTTTTTCCCTTCATCTTTCGTTCTTTTTTATTGATTTTTTTCTCAATTTGTTTTTATTTTAGTAACAGATGGAATGACTTTGATACATGTCAAGTTTTTATAAGATGATCCTTGATGATCAATATTTGCATGATAATGCAAAATATAGAATATTAAAAAATAACAAATTAATGTCAAATCACATATATTTTAAATTTCAGAATCTTTTTTATTCAACTAAATTTGAGAACATAATAGCTTGTTGACGATTTATGAATTATTATGTATAATTAACGAATTAACATAGTTTTTTCCGCTCGTTATAATTCTCTTTAGATGGGAAGCGAGGTCCATTCAGGAATACTAGACTTACACGCGAAGAACAAAGGACTCAGGTTTTGGTTCCCATGCTACACACACACACACACAAGTTATCGGATTGGCTGATTTATTTATGTATATTGGTCAGCTTGATGCATTAACTAATCGAATAATTTATAAATATTAATTATTTCACAGCTCACTTTGTGGACTATGGTAAGATCTCCTCTTATATATGGCGGGGACTTGAGGAATCTTGATTTAGAAACACAAACTATGCTCATAAATCCTACACTCCGAGACATACACTTTTTTAGCTCAGCAAATAAGGAGGTACGTGATGATCGCTATCTATATATCTTTTGTTTTTTGGTGTCTCTATTTTCTATTTGCACATCAATTTATTCTGAAATGTATTGAGATTATAGAAAATAAAGACTATTATGTGAAAGAATTTTAGAAAAATTCAATCATTAGTTCCTATAGTTTCATTAGGTTTTAGTTTTAGTCCTTATTTTTTTTTAAGTACTTCTTATAGTTTCAGTAAGATTGGGTGATGTTTGTTCTTCAGGTTCCTAACAATGTTAAATTACAAGAACTATATAAAGACTGAAAATACTAAAAATAAATTATAGGGATTAAAAGCAAAATTCAATAAAACTATAAAAATTAATTATTATGTTTTCCCAATAATTTTATGTAAGCACTCCCTTAGTTATTAATAAAATTATTATTATTATTATTATATTTAAATGATCCACCAGAGCGGTTATTATAAGCAGTTTGGTAGATGACCACTCACCATAGCACTTCTCTCAATAAGCACTTTGGATTATATAGGAGCGTTTTTTTCATAAACACTCAGATAAGAGCGCTCCTATAAATCAGACTTATTTTTTTGTAGTGTCGGTCTTTAATTCAACCATAATGGATGTACTAAAGGCACATGTAAAAAAAAAAAACCATAAAACGAAGAAAAGTGATCCAAGAAAAGAGAATTAATATTTGGACAATGAATAACAATCGATTGACGTGAATTTTATTGCTTTGACTTGCAATGACAGTTTGATCCTAAAATTGGTGGTGGAATTCGAGCTTGGATTGCAATAGGAAGGAGAAACGGTTTGTTTCTTAGCGAATCAAATTCAACTAATAAGAAAAAAAATTGAATTTCTTTTTATTGTTTAAATTACCAAACATAGTTCTTCTTATCCTTAAGATATATTAGTTTTTTTTTTGGCCGATCAACATAAATTAGTTTTGGATGAATGTTTTAATATAGATATTCTCCATCAATCTACTTATAAAATTATTTATTATTTCTAAACAAGGACAAATAAAAGCTGTAAGAAAACCAAATTTGAAACTTGAATAAAATTATAGGGAAAAAAAGAATAATTTTTTTCCAAATAAATAATAACATAATCAATCACAAATTTAAATTAGTGTGGATTGTAAAAGCTCTCATCATATAAGCAGATAGTTACCTAGAATACTAGCCTTTACCTATATACATATAGAGGGAACAAATTCTCTAAAATTAAGATCAATGAAATCTTGTGAAATTTTCATTTTTATTATTTTTCATAAACTATAAAATCCTTCCTCCTTAAAAAGATAAACTTCATGAAATTTATGTATCTTAAAGATCTAAGTAGTTCAAAAATCCAATTTGATCCTTTTCTTACATAACGTAACATGCCATGTATGTTTCCCACCAGTTTAAAATATAAACAGTTTTTAATAATAATTTGCATACCAATAAAATTTTTATTTCCATGAATATATATACACATATATGCTTTCATCCTTTTATTCTTAGTTTCAATTTATGATATAAGTGTGAAAAATGTCATAATTCACAGATGCAAGAATCTAAGTTAATAAATATAAGGGGTGAAAAAAGAAAATTCATTTTGCAAGTGCTAAATTACTTATATTTTGGATCAAGATTAGTTAGGAGAACATATTTATATTTTGGATCGGAGTAGCATATATAACTCAAGCATCATCAGTAATCACTTTTCCAAGTTTTATAAGCTTGCATGATTCTCAGGGAAATTTTTAATTTGTTTTTCACTCACAGGTGAGGTCTATGTTGCAATTTTTAATCTAAGTGATCAAAAAAGGACTTTCGAGGTGCCTACATCATATTTGGGAACTATTATTCCTGAGAAGAAATTCAAAGTTTGTAAAGGTCACGAGGTTTGGCAAGAAATCAATGAATTGCCGCAAGATAAAATAGGAGCCACTCTTGCACCACATGACTGTGCATTGTTTGCCCTAACTTGTAGTTAATTAATAACTTCAATTATATATCTTCTAGCTCTTAAAGGAATATAATAAAATTCATAGTTTTTATTATGGGAACATTTTCTGCGCAAAAAACAAATGTATTATTCTTGCTGCTTCAATAAGGTAATGTTGCTTTTGGATACATGAGCATCTAGATTTGGAATTGAACCAAATCCCATATTTAAATATATAAAATCTGTGAATTTGGATTTGATCTAAATTCAAACCCATGCTTTATTATAATTTTTTATAGTTTTTAATTCTCTCTAGACTCAAGTTATTTAAAATTTTAGCTACACAGACTCTTTTATTTTCTTAATATTTTTATTATTAGTATTTCTGTTACTCTTGCTTCTCTCATTGCACATCCTCAACTCTTCCTGAATAAAAATTGGAAGTAAGCTCATCATTTCAAATTTTCTGTTTCTATTTTGAATCTCAGCTTATATCTTTTCTACCTTTAAACTTTTTTATTATTATTTAAACAAAGGATTTTAAATGTAGATTTTATAATTAATTAAGATTTAAATCTAAAATTCAAATTAAATATATTAATCCAAATAATTCCAAATATTATTCGGATTATTGAATTCATTTAGAATAGCTTTATGGACACGGACGTGGGCACCACAGAAAAATGAACGCGAATTATTATTTTAATTTGTTTGTTTAAATGAGCAGAATTCATCACAACAGCGGACGCTCAGTATGCGTGTATAATAAATTAATTATTTATTTCGAATTCCGATAAAAAGTTGTGTTCTGATTTTCGGGTGAGAACGAATTAGAAATTAAAGTTGAATATCTAAATTCATATGGTTTTGAGTGAACAAAACTTCATATACGGAGAGTATTATACTACGAGAGTAGTTAAAGTTGGTTAATGTCTTTTTTTTTTTTTCAATTCTACCCTTAATTAAATGCAATGATTTTCACAATTTCAATTTCTATTTTATTGAACATGTTTGAAATTCACATGTTCTAATTCTTCCTAGAACGTGGTATATGTCACCAGTGTTGGATAGGCTGAAATTCGAGAGAGGGATAAATTAAGTGTTTTTGAAATTTTCAAAAACTTTTCCAAATTTAATAAAACAGTAACCAACTAAAAAGTAGAACAATTAAGGAATGGAGAGAGTGCTTATCTCAATTTAGCTCAACCACTCGACTTACGTTCAATCTTGAGAAAAAAAAAAATCTGAAGATTGTTCATCCAACTTGGCAAGTTTTAACTAGAAACTTGTGGCCACAATACAATTCAAGACTCAAAGTTTTGCAACACTCTCAATCCCTTACAATGATTGTCAGAACTAAAACCTTGCTCGCTCTAGCAAATGCACAGGATTGATGAGGTTATAAATATTTGGAGAATTCCTGGAGTCAAGTCCAAAGGAAGACAGTGTGATTTTTGTTGTTTCAATGACCAAAAAAAAGAAATAATGCTCAAGAGAGAGATTTGTTGAATTAATTAATTAAACTAGATGATTAAAACAATAAGCAATAAATAAATGGTGATCCAATTAGTCAAGAAGCACCAAGGGTCGGAATTCATCTACCGGATGCCCCTACCCCCATCTAAAC